TAATGGTTTTGATAGTTCTTTTTTCTTTCTTCGCAATAATTTATTTGATGAACTTGTTTATTGGATTGTTATCTAATTTTATTAGTGAAACAAATAAAAAAGAACTATTTTTACTTCAAAGAGCAAAGGTAATAATATGTTGGGTTAATATTTGTCACGGCTAAAGCTGAAAATGGCTAAATCTAAAAATTTTAAATATTTTAATATGAAATGGTCAAAAATTTTTGGAGTGTATTTTTTTTTTTTTTTTTTTTTTTTTAGCTTTTTCTTATTGTTTTGATTTAGCTTCGATAATAAAAGAGCATAAATTTTGGCGGGTTTTTATTTTTAAAATCGAGGTTCTTAATTTCTAGCTTCTGTCATTTCCAGCTTCAACCGCGACAATAATTTTATCTTTAAAATTATAATCATTTCGTATTTTTAAACAGATTTTATCAGAAATAGAATTATTTTATATGCTACCACACCAACGTAGAAAAAATAATTGGTTTCCTGAACTCATGTAAAGATTAATTTATTGTAAAAAAATTGATTATTAATATTTATCTAATTTTAACATTAATCAATATATTTAAAGATTTTACAGCTTTAGTCTCGATAAACTTTATGATATAATCACTAAAATACAACATAATAATTGGGACGATGCTGTAACACCGTTTGTTCCTAATACATTACTAAAAATTATAGATAAAGATCAATTAAAAGATAAAGAGAACTTATTTCAAAAATTAAAAGAAGTCGAAGAAAAGATTCAAAAATTAACAGAAAGTGAAAATAAAATAATTGAAGAGAAGATTCAAAATTAGAAGATAATGACAATAAGATAATTCAAAAATTAGAAGATAATGACAATAAGATAATTCAAAAATTAGAAGATAATGAAAAGACAATTCAAGAGCTAAAAAAGTTTTTATTGAAAGAGATAGATTAGATAATTAAATTATTTCTTATAGAATAAACACCCTTTATTTGCTTTATTTGTATAGCGTGTATTTATCCTGTAATTAATGAAATTTATGATTCTTTTTTAAAAAAAACTGTCCAAAGCATGGTATTTTTTATGAGAGAATTTTAATAAAGTATAAATATAGAACTTTTGAGCATAAAATTTTTATTCCTATTTGCTGGAGTTGAAAGGAGCGAAGTGAAAGTCTTTCGAGCCTTACTCTATCGAATTTCAGGAATGTTTGACACCCGGACAACTGGTTTTTAATTTAGGAAATGGACTAAAAAATCACCGTTTGGAATTTTCTAACCAATTTAAAGATTTTTGATTCAAGAAATCTTGATTTTTATTACGCAGTGTAATTTTATCTCTCATCAAATTAATAGATATTTTAATTTAAAAGTCGGATTCTTCGAAGATATGATGCTCCAAAAACGGAATAACAACAATAGAAGATCGCCAATTAACTTTGCGAATTGAATTCGGCAATGAAGACATTAATCACATTTTTCTTCTATTAGGTTCAAATTCAAAATTTGAACATAAATTGGGTTTAATTATTAGGTACCAAAATCTTGATTTAAAATATAGCGGCTAACTCTTAATAAGATATATTGTAACTGACGTTTAAAATTTCGTTATGGCTTTTATTTATTATTTTTTTTTTGATGTGTTAATGCATTTGTACACAAACTTAACAAATGGTAAGGTAAATTTAAAGCAATTAACAATCACCGTTTATTAAATACCAATCCAATATTAGTACAAATTTATCGTTAGCTTTTGTAATTCTTGTTATATAACCTGTAACTTCCAATCCAATTGAGCAAGTTTTGGTTTTTCAATTTTTTTAATTTCTTCGGGCTCCAATCCAGTCTAGAATATTAAAAAAATCATTAAGCCGTAAAGGTATGTTATTATTTATTGACATTTTCCAGA